TGGGGGTGGGACTGGCCTGCATGTGGTGATATATAACGGTTTATTATCAGACATCGTCAGGGCAGAAATAAATGTCAGCCTTGAGGGGTACGTATACGGGTCGGACAGGACAGGCCTGCATGTGGTTTTGTATACGGGACTCAGAACTGATATGGTCAGGGCAGGATTGATACGCCGGATGAGGCTATTTGCGTCAAAGAGGCCAAATGAGGGGAACCCTGACGCGATCGACCACAGTACGCTTCGAGCCCAGCCGAGGAGTGGGGAAAGGAGGTACGACCAAACTACTAGTAGATGACAAATACTGAGGGTTCCGCCGTGAGCGTCGACAGACCGCATGAGGACGAAATGTAGGAGATGACATCAAGAACCGCGAAAATCGTCGCTTTGGGGGAGGAGTGATAGCAGTGGATTTAGAAACTAGTCCCTTTTGTACTCTACGAAATCATAAAAGATCAAGGCCTGTAAGCCGGCAACGTTCTTGGTACGGAAAATGTCGGTGTTCGGGGGTTAAATCTCTCTTGGTAAAAAAGTGTTGAACGGATTCTATTTTCTTCCGCTCAGTAGCACGCATGAGGCTAAATAAGAACGAACAGTATTCCAGGCCAGGTCGAACGCACATGTTATAAAGGCTCATTTTAATATCGCTGGTTTTAAAGTTTCGGAGGATAAACCCGGTCGTTCTAAGTGTTTTGGAGACTATCGGGTCTCCGTGCTCTGAAAGACTGAGGCTCTTGGAGTATGATACACCCAGGTCCTTAATAACCCCAGGCACATTTATGTCGTGACCGTCAATACTTAGTTGAGGTTGGTGGTCGTTGCCAACCACCATGACTGAGCACTTATACCAAGACAGAGAAAGGCGCCATGTGCGGCACCATTGGGCAAAGGCCTGTAGGTCGTTTTTTAGGAGCTCAAGCACGATGCGACGATCTGCCGGCTTATACCTGTTTGCAACTTTCAGATCATCGGCATACATGAAGAGCTTACCATTCTGAAATAAATCAGGTACATCGTTAACAAAAAGGCAAAATAAAAGCGGTCCGAGTACACTTCTCTGAATGACTCCATTCCTCGCACATGTGGGGTTGGAGATAGCATTGGAAATCTTAACTCGTTGTGTACGAGCGCCTAGGTAGGGGTACATAAAATTCTGAAGTTTACCACCTATGCCGAAATAGGACAGTTTTAACAGAAGAAGAGCATGGCCACACGATCAAAAGCGTTAGTGAAATCGAAATAGACTGCGTAAAGTGCAAAACCAGTGTCCCTAGATTGGAGAACATAGTCGAAGAAAGAGAGCTGACAGGTGTTACAAGACCGAACTTTAAGGAATCCATGCTGTGCAGCGCTCAGTAGGTTATTATCTGTTAAGTGACACATCATCTTACCTCTGATCAATGTTTATTGGCCGAAAGTCATCAAATGACGTAGATTTGCCGTGATAAGGAATGGGCAAAATGTGTGATTCCTTCCACAAGGTAGGATAAGTTTAACTTTCAAGAGCGAGATTAAATAAGAGAAATGGAAAATCGTATTTGCACCGGCTTTTAAAATGCTTACTGGGACACCATCAGGTCCTAGACTATAAGACTGACGAAAACGCCGAATCGCAACAGTCACATCCCACAGAGTGAAAGTTATATTTTCGAGAATTGTCCTGGTCAATGCCCAGATGGTCGGAAGCGGAGTGGTCGAGCTTTTAATAAACATTTTGGATAGGAAAGCGCTGAAACTATCAGCGGTTACCTGGATATCAGCCATAGGATTCCCGAGAGCGTCTCGGAGGATGGGATGCTGCGTCTTTCTGTGATTTCGTACTTTTCGGGAGAAAAGTTTCGAGACATTTAAGGAACGGTTTTCAGTGAATTGGACATCGGAGAGCTGTTTTTCTTCGGACGGCCTCTCCGCCCACTCAAAAATAGCACAAATCAAGGGCAGAACGGAAAGGTCGTTCTGAAGATGGAATCGGCGAGAAGGTTTGCGCAACCTGCGGCAAAGAGTAGGGGTAGGAAAACCTCATCCCCGACATTAATTAGTTTCTTAGGGGGGACAAAACGAGAAAAAGGCGGATCCAAAATTTTGTACAGTATAGCAGTGGAAAAATTTACATCCGAACATAGGAAGAAATCTGGCCAATCGAAGAAATTAAGGTGCGTTAATAAGTCGGTCGAGTGAGCTGATCGGAAATCGAGGAAGAACCTATACTTTGGGGACGAAATTATTTCAGCCTCGAGTTTTAACGTTGAAACAACTATGTTATTGTCTGATTCCCCGAGTGGACCTAAAGATGACGCTGACAAACTCATGCAACCTCTACAGAACATTAGGTCGAGTGTGCTTGATCCTAGGGTGGGAAAATCTACAACCTGTCTCCACATCCCAACATCCACAGCCTCAAGAAAGTCTTCGAACCTTCTGGGGCCGGAAGGCGGACACCAGCGGACTTCAGGAAGATTGAAGTCACCCGCAAACAATTGATACTTAAAGCTTAAGTTGGCCGCAGCATGAAATGCCAGTGAGAGTTAACGACCAAAATTCTCATTGGCGTTGGGAGGGCGATAGACACAGCCAACGAGTAAGGAGGAATTATTTTTAGTGTAACTTGGAGCCAGCAATAGCCTTCTACTGCGGAAAAGTGCGGGGGCCCCAGCAGCAGAAATGTAAGTGTTTGCTTAACGTAGACGCAACTGTCCCCACCACGGCTGTCCTGACGATCATTTCGAATGCAGGTATAGCCTAGAAAAAACAGTTCGGTGTCAGCTGCGGAAACTGATTCCCATATCCTCGTTACTAAACCAGTATCTGGACAATGGGGGAACACCGGAGTCTGAAGCGAAGGCATCTTATTTAGCAAGGGTCTGGCATTTAGACCAAAACGTTTGAGGGGAGAGGCTGTTTGCTTCTGAGGGAGGTGGGCTAGGTCGTCCAGTGCTTGGCTGTTCACGGAACACACGGTCCGGATGCACCCATCGGGTCCTGCAAAAAACGCTGTGGCATCAGAAGATTCTGACGCGAATAAAATGAAGTAGAACTTGAGGAAGGAAATGACGGACTGGGAAACTGGTGACCATTGTTAGCTAGCTAATTTTCAGCTGGAAATCCACGGGCCGGATACTGCAGCGTATTCTCGTCGGAACGAAAATGAGAAGCGGATGAGTTAACTGACCCAGTACGGACACTAGCATGAGGATTGAATTGGTAAAACGGCCGTGGAGGAAACATGTTGGGGGTGGGGACGCACTGCTTTCATCAGAGCAAGAATTCAGGAATGTAGGCATATTCGGCTTAACCGCCTAGATATGAGGGCTGGGGCAGTTGGAAACACACCACGTTTTCGGCCGTGGAGTTTGAGGCATTGTTAGGCGATTGCGGAGGACAAGATTACATAATGGAGCTAGATTTGCCTGGCGCCCGAGTGGCTGAAACGGCACTCGGATTCGCCTTTGACATAGGTACATGCTTAGGCTTGCTAGGGGTTGCTGGAGGAGTCGAAAGGGGCATTTTTATACCAGACGTGTTGATGATTTTAAAGATCTCAGTAGCAAAAGTAGTCGAATTCCCTACGGAATTGACTATGCCGTGCCTTGCTTAGGCCGCAGATGATGATGAAGAAGACTTATTTAAACTGACAATAGGTGTCATAATGTCAGTGTTGGTTTTTGACAATTTCAATTTATTCAGTCTTTGCTGCATTGGTGTGAGGTCCGGCAAACCTGAGTAGCGCCATTTACGACAGAATTCTTTAGTTATCTTCCTCCTCGACAAGACAAAATCTACTTCTGTTAGGGAGAAAAGGGTAACTATTATCGGCGCAGAACGGATTAGCGAGCACAGTCGTTTAGCGTGTACGAAACTAAAACCCAAGCCGCAACTTTGCAGGAACAAATGCCCTCCCTCTATAGCAGATAGGTGAATTGGAATATTTCGCAGTACAAAATTATGTCTCCGTTTTATTGTCTCCTCAGTTTCGGAGCTCATCGCTCCAATACATTTAAACGCTTGTTCAATGACTTTCAGAAGCGCTGCTTATGTCGCCATATATCAACTGATGGAGTATTCCGTCGGCTGATGTTCCGTTACGACTAGCAGAGGCGTAGTTTTGGACGATTAAGGAGCCAAGGGGTTCTATTTGGACTAAAAGGGATTTTTGATTTAACCAGTAGGCAACGAACATACGTTGGCACCTGCGGCGTCTCCGGCCACGATTCTAGCACTCAGAGATGGCGGAGAGACCGCAAGTTTTCGTCTTTTAGCACGTGTTCTTCGGGGCATTACAGAGTACTCGATAGGTTTTCCGCTGATAATGTACAACAAAACGCACAGAATAACAAGCACTACTGCCAATAGAAGCGAAGAACCGAGTCCCAAGAAGTAGTCTTGAAGAAGGAGACACGATCTCCGGGACAAGAGCTTTATTAGCCTGACGTTTCGGATTTCTACTCGAATCCATCATCAGAGACAAAAGAGCAGAAACGGGTGGTTGTTGCACAAGGGGCTGCGGTATTTATAGGATGCAGCAGCCATGCTACCGCATACCTATGAACGTTCACGGCTTCCCCCTTCATCCGGGATTGTCACACTTGGTGTGATCATTGCTTGATGGCCGACATTCGAGTCGATAATTGCTGCAATTTCATCACGTGCGTTGAATGTTGGCGTGATGATTGCTCGACCATCTGACGCGTTGACCCGGGTGTTGGGAAGAGTGTTCACCAGTGCGCTCCCCGCGTGGCCAATTACTCCGCCGAGACGAAGTCTCAGCACGCTGTATTGAATGGGAAGATCGTTGCACTTGTTGATGGACTGGGGCCCAGTAAACCATGATTCCAGTAGCTCCCGGCTCACTCGGTTGTCACCCCTTGCGAGAATTTCGGCCTCATCGAATTTGAATGTGTGGCCGGATCTCGTCGAATGAGCCGCATGAGCTCCTGAAGCTTTGTCTCAGGACGTACTTCACGTTCGACGGGACAATCTACAAACAGGTGAAGGGCACACCAATGGCTTCGCCGATTTCGGGATTCATCGCCGAGGCGGTCCTGCAACGGTTAGAGTCGCTGGTCTTCCAACACCACAGACCGAAATTCTGGGCCCGGTATGTGGATGATACCTTCGTCGTCATCGAACGGGATCAGGTGTTGACATTCCAAGAACATCTCAACGCCGTCTTCCCGGACATTCAATTTACGATGGAGGAGGAAGAGAACAACCAGCTGGCCTTCCTAGATGTCCTCGTATGCCGCAAGGATTGTGGTGGACTAAAGACCAAAGTGTTCAGGAAAGCGACAAATACGATGCAAGTACTGAACTTCAACAGTAACCACCCAATCAGCCACAAACGCAGTTGTGTAAGGACGCTCTATCGGCGTGTCGAAACGCACTGCAGTGAGCCGGAAGACAAAATTGCTGAACTACAATACCTCCGACGGGTCTTCAAAGCCAATGGCCACCCTCGCAACTTCGTCGACCGGTGCATACGCAAAAGGGACGAAAGGCTTAACCGCACGGACACCAAGTCTTGGCGGGCACTTCCGTATGTCAAGAACGTTTCGGAAGCTCTCGGCCGCCTTCTCGCACTTGGGGTTGGAGTGGCACACAGACCGGAGGCAATCATCAGGCGTCTGATCATGAAACCGAAAGACCCACTGCCACGACTAGAAACGTCTGGAGTCGTTTATCGGATCTGCTGCAGTTGCGGACAAAGCAACGACGTCGAAGAAACCGGAAGACAGCTCCGAACGAGAATGGCCGAACACGTGGCAGCGGTGCGCAGAAATGACGCAGGTTGTGGACCACACCCCTGGTCCACAACGTATACGGACCAGGATTTAAGATAAAAAGAAATAGCGGCAGTTTGGGCCCAAAATGGCACGGCGTGAGCTTGCGTTTGGGCGTGCCGCCACGCACTTAGTTTTTGTATTTGCCGTGGGTGAACATTCCCAATAACGCCTGCCCGGCCCCGGTGGTGGTGCGAGGCCTGTTTGAGGGACGCAAAATACGTGCGTACATACACACGGCATGTAATAATTTATCTACTCGGTTCCCTTTCATTTCACTTTTTTGAGGGATTTAATCGTGAGTCTTTGTGAACTTTATTTGCAACGTAAAATTGGGGATAGTGCCATGTCAGTCAAAGTTACTACCGATCCCACCAAATAGACATAAAGGGAAAATTGGAGTGAAAGAGTCCTAGGCAGCGGTGTGTATCATACAGTGCATCTTTGACGATAACAGTGAGCCGTAGTTCAAAGTACATCAACCTACTCCTGGATTTATTTGTTTTAAACCGTTCCGGCTAAGCTATTTAAGGAGGGAGTTCGTAGGTCCGTAAGCTGTTACCGCCCCGTAGTGATCGCGACCTGCTCGCAAAAACATACGGTAACTTTATTTCCAAATGTAAATTAGGACTTATTAGGCTAAAAGTGAGCTTAAAACACTTAGTCCAATGTAACAAAGCGAACATAGTTGGAATATTACCAGCATTATCTAAAAAAATTTGTCCTGATTCTCACAAGTTAGTTTCACAGTTAAAAACATTTGCAAGGCCGAAATTTTGTAATTTTTTGCTCATGTGAGCAATTTGTCAGCCAAACATTTCTGTTATTATAAATATGTATAGGGACAATATAGCTAAAGGACATCTGGCGAGACTATAGAGTCGACTCTACAGTCTAGTCAGATGTCATTTAGCTCGTAATAAGTAAGTCAAACTAATATCCCGACATTCTGCCAAAGATTTACGGACTCATTCCAATAATTCATCTGACTGTGAATTTGCCTTTGAAGGTAACATACATTCCACCACACTTTTAGCATGCAGTAAATTGTTTTGTGTAGTTTCTAAATAAGTTGTCCTTAGTTACGTGAAAGACAAGAAAGCCGATACAATAGAGTCCAGACCCTTCCACTTGTCTAAGTGAGATTAACGTCTTCGGCAAAGCACCCATTAACTGTTTTAAAAGTTCTATGACAATACAGTACCCGAATGGAACTTTCCAGTTAAGCTGTTATTAATGTTACCTAAAAATGCTTAGTATGCTGCATATTCCCCAAGTATGTTATGTTTCGTTGGGTTGTTAGAAAACCAAAGGCATTGTTAATTATTTAGCTATAATAAACCATTAGCTTAATAAACATATTTATTAAGCTACGTCGAGATGTATTGCGTTCCGACATTAACTGTTTTATTAAGATGTACATACATACCTTACGCGATTTAGGGTCTGAGCATGACGGACGATACGTTTTATTCCTTCATTTGTAAGGACATTGATGGGAACGTAACAGATCTAAACCCCTACAGGTATGAGTGTTTTCCTTACTTACTCGCAAAGGGGCAAAGTTTGTCTCGTAGTCAACGTTGCAACCTACTGACGTTTGACTGATATAAACTACAAACAATTGCAAGAACTGTATACCAAATATGCTAGCCAAGGTCTTGCGATTTTGGCTTTCCCTTGCAATCAGTTTGGAGCACAGGTAAGACGTATCTGATTTTCAAGCCCCGAAAGGAACCCGAAACCGAGAATGTCATTAAAAAGAACATGCAGGAAAAATACAAGGTCACATTTGACATGTTTAGTAAGTGCGAGGTCAACGGTAGCGACGCCCATCCTCTCTTTACTTATCTCAAAAAGTCGCTGGTGGACACAGAAAAGCCGTAAGTAAATATGAGATTAGTAATGAATTTTTCCATAAATTGTGTATGTTACTGTTAAGACGAGGATTAATGTATGCTTTTTTAAGATCTTACTTGATGAAATAGGTGCCTATGAAGTTAGGGTTATGGTAATATTTAACGGCGTTTCGAAATATGATACTCAGACATGTTTTGCATTTCGTCCTAAAAGTGACATCACATGGAACTTTGCTAAGTTCCTAGTTGATCGAAAGGGCATGCCATACAAACGCTATCCTCCGGATTTTGCTCCTCAGGTAATCATTACTTTTAATAAAATTCAAGTTGTGATTGCAAAACTACACTTGCATGTATGCAGCTATTGGCCTCTCATTGCTTTGCATATAGTCTGGCTGCATGATAATAAATACCGATAAAAGCATGTGAGTTTCATTATCCTTCTTCTCCCTCCGTAGGACATGGAGCCGGATATTCTGCATCTTCTTTCTCGGTAATACGGTTGAAACCAGGGTACTTGGCGGCCTCAGAGAGTTAGCATGATCATCCTTTATGACGGAGGTTTTGTAAAATTCATCAAAATTTCCCGATGAAGCGGCAAACTGGTATACTTTGTCGCCGGATTCTGCATCCTGTTACATTCGACTGGGCTGCCGCTTAGTACACTGACTTGTTTTCATTGTTCATGACAAAAATATTTTCAGATTTTTTTTTCACCGATTAACTAAAAATAAATTATGGGTCAAGCACAAGGACTGAAACAAATTCTAACTTGTCGAGTTTTTTAGCTATTTTCACATTTGAAGACCAGATGTGAATGTAATCGGTTGCTGAGAGAATGAGTACCTCCTGTTTAAGTTTCATAGTTGTGGGCATGCAACATTACAGATTTGGTACCAGGGGTGCGACTTATTTGCCAATAATCGTTTATACTCATCACTTCTTACTACAATCTTTACGGAAAAACTGTTGGGATTGCATAAAGACCTACTAAAACAAGGTAGTTGTGCATGATGTGTAGGTTCCAGGTCTCGATTGTTTGATATAGTACTTGACAAAACAGGAAATAAGCGACCAAACATGTCGATTATTGTCAGATTATTTGCCGTTCATTTAAGGTATCTTTGTTAAATCGTGCGCTTCAATAAGCTTTCAGTCTTGGTGAATATACAAGTAACCGGGAAACCAAACTGGGCTAGCTGTGTATAGCTTTGTCCTGTAGGCTCTGGCGCTTCTCATTCTAATTTTTGCCTTGAGAAGTCCAGATCATCGGATATGCTTAACAGTTAGTCTGAAGAGGAGTGTTGACAAAGACAAGATTAACCTGCGTTTCAGGTATACCTGAACGAAGGCCAAAAGTCTGATAAATATTGACGCAAGTCTGCAACGCATTAGTCTCAAGTGGCATGGCAGCAAGCCACTCCGAAATCCTTAACAGAAACAACTGTTCTTTGGGTGCTAAAGCTGTTACATGAGTGGTAAGAGGTAGAGAATCTTGAAGGCCCTAACAGAAATGGTGAAGACGTGGTATTCAGTTGTGGTATCGAAACACACCTGACCATGACTTTCAAGATGAAAGTACATATAATTGTCAAACTAAGCCAAACAGTGTGTAGCGCAGTGAGAGGTTGGGGTATTGGAACTTCAAGCGTAAAGAATAACAGTTGTTATGCGGCAATGGGCAGAGGACTCGAAAATCAACTTGTACCGGCAACCTTCGTTAAATAGGGAACTCAACTAGTTGGAAATTTTTTGCCGCTTCTACAAAGATTTTATGTCCCATAGTCTGTAACAACAAGTAAAATATCCGATCATTAAAAGTTATGGACTACGTCAAGTGTCCGACGAGGTGAGAACTGCACTTCAACTTTGTCAACTTAACCTTGCAATAATGCCCATATTTTTTACCCTGTTAGGAGCTTCCAGGTTTGTATTTAGAACTGCAGCAAGTGACAACTCACAAACTATCAACTGTACTATTTAAATGCACTTTCAACAGGAAACATGACAAGGGCAAGGCTGTTTAGGAGACAATCAGTTTCCAGAATAAACTCGAAGTTCCCAGAATGTCGTGTTACAACGGCAACATGTTCCCTGCGTTTTGAGGGTTTTACGTTGAAAACGAAATTAAAACTAGAAGAGCATGCTTTCAATTAGTGTTTGCCATTCCCTACATAAAGTTCTGTGATCTTAAAAAGTGGGCGAGAGATTTTGGGGAGCAAGACAAAAGACCCGGTTTTCCTAAAATATCCATATAGACATGGAGGTATAATTGCGCACTTTTTAATACAGTTTGGAATTAATCACTTGAATGGGATAGCTTGCTGTCCATGTGGATTTCTCCCGCTGCATTGTACAAGAGGGCCTGGGACAGAGAGGTTTTGGAAAGCTGGCCTTCAGATGAACGTATGCGCAACCTAAAGCAAAATCATCCCCAGGCGTGCCCTGCGTTGCCTTATTCGAACTCAACAGGGTTCCGTTAAACTGGAGATATTGCGACGAATTGTGGGGCTAGACAGTCTGTAGGCCAAAACTATCTCTGTGTGGTCGTTACCCTTGCGTTCATGTTCTTGTTCATGGAGTCGTCCACACCGGTGGATATTTGCTCATGCTTTGACAATAATGCAATCTTTCAGCAATCATATTTTGTCCTTACTTTGATCATTTGTTGGATGAAGAGACGAGCTTACGCCCAACCCGTCTTCAAGTCAGGATATTTTTCTCGTCTGCTCTCGTTGTACACAAAACACTCAGTAGATATCTGTGTCAGCATATTGGCGCTGTACTTGTGGCCAGTCTAGTAGTTACAGTCGCAGAAACTAATGTATTGTTGAACCCCAATCAGCATCCATTGCTATGTCTGTGACAAACAAGAGTTTATAGAAGCTGCACAAATATCTTTCGCACTGGTGATTGGGAGAAAATATCGACCGACGATCACGCAGAAACCAGTTTTCCTTTGGTCTACTTGAAATTAGACCCTATTCTGGGAAGAAGGAGCCTGGCATTTTGACCCTTTGAATGAGTCACTAAAATGGATTCCATCGAAACGGGGAAAGCTAGCTTTTATTACGGGGTTGCCCAACTGGCGCTCGGTATCCTGACAAATTCACCGAAGGTAAGACACAAGAACCTGTCAGTCGCAGAAAAACCAGCGAACAATTCCCTGCTCCTCACCATCGCAGTCAAAAATAGGACTAGATCAAGCACAGTTAAGTAAAAAAAAAAACTCGGCGGTTCATGTGGACGGGCATATGCCGCCATAATTCTTGTATTCTGCAAAACCGCTGCGGCCATCTTAACCAGTCAGATTAAAATTGCATCGACACATTCAACCGCAGGTTTTAGGACCCCATAGGCTCGAGGTCATGTGCTTTTGGTAAGAAGCCTAACTCATTAACCATCGAGCCACGAGCTCGTTGTTCTGTCGGTTGAGATCGAATGTATTAACAACAGTAGAAGGGCGCTCACCAATCGCTGTATAGTTCAGTTGTTAGGGCGTTAAGTTCCTAACCAATAGCACGCGGCTCTGAGCCTCAGAGGTAGCAAAGGCCCGGGTTGAAAATGGCTGACCTATGGCAGCTACTAAGCCAGTAGTGCCCATTTCAGCTTCCCTTGCATCTGTCAGAAATTTAATCCTGCCTTTATTACTAGCCGCTGTGCTTAAGCTGGGAGGGCCCTTGGTAGAGCCGTAAGACACAACGGGTCAGTTATGTTCCGTGACGCGATTGGTGATTGCCCTTTTCCCAAGTTTAATTACACTTGTGGTTGCAAATAAAGTGAAGGCATGCAGAGACTGTTGGCAGGCAGGTGAGCCAAGACGTGTTGCCGTGGCTGTTAGGAAAATGAAACAGTCTGCCCAAAGGTTCAGTCATAGAACGTCCGCCGGACTCTGGCCGCATTACGAATGCCGAGTTTTCCCCAAAGATCCACTTTCGCTCAGATAAGGTACGTCGCTCACACTGCGCTGAAGTCTTAAGAATATGGAGGAAACCAAAGTCGCTTGGGCAGCATCTGAATAAGAACATTAATCTTGCAGAACGCTATGGCAGCTAAGTCTTGTGCCAACTTGAGGGATGCAACTGCAGCCACTACCATATCAGGCTAGACAGAGCCTGTGGAAGGCCATATGAGGGTCACAAACATGATGACATAATTAAGTCGGGCTTCTTCCCCCACTGATGGCTTATTCGATCGATTTCCCGGAAAAGACCGTTTTGAATCGAAAATGGCAATTCCAAACCGCCTTGTCGTATTCCGTGCGTAAACTGTACTTACGACTGCACGAGTAGGATTACACTCGTTTGCGAACTTATGCCGATAGTGTGACGGGGTGGTGAATTACCACAAGAGACTGCCCACGCATTCGCAACGGATCACGAGTCTAACTTCGCAGTCACCAAGGTCATCGCCGACGCCAGAAGCAAGACAAGTTGATAATTGATTGAAGCCTGGGCCTCGGATAAGAACTCAGACAACTGATGTTTCGACCTAGTGTTAGCAAACAGAGTCATGGGGAGTCACCAACAGGCCTGTTACACTGATGTTGAATTGGCTAATACACGCTTTGACTATAGCTTGTTCATTTACAGATTCTATCTCTGACGACGGATCCCTGCACGGGTTCCAAAGCATAGAAAAATCTTAAAAAAATGTTCCCCGTCTCTCGATCAGTCTTCATCTTTTTCATTACTCATTTTCAAAACTTCCTACAATATGAGAATGCCGGACAGTTCAGTCACCTCCTTCTGCCATCGATTGTTTTGCAGTTTACTGCATGATATCCTTTACACTTCTTGATTTTATAAAGCGTGTAACGTTTAAAGCAAAGAGTCAGCTGATGGCAGTGAGTCAGTGATACATGTGAACGGTGGAATGGCGTTTCTAGTCCAGGAAGTCTGTCCAAACAAATCGACTTTTTCGATTAATCCTTATTAGCCCGACGCAATAACGTGCGGTGTGAAGTCATACTGATGAACTGTGACAGAGTGACAGAAGAAACCAGGAAAGTCAAGATAGGGAGACAGGCAGCTGAGGTGAAGTGGTCGATCTCTGCAGGCGTCGATAGAGCTTTTGTGGTAGGCTGTTGGTGGCTGATTATCCGTATACTGGACCGGCGTTTATTCTAACAATAACAATTGTTGACCCTGAAAAAGTCTTCTATGAGCATACAATGGGATTTTTCGGAAGCATAGTTCTCGGGATGTTTCTTTGCACCGAATGTAGAAGAGACCCGTAGCTGTTAGGTTATAGGCGATCACGTGCCTATGAATGCCGCATTTGACTAATATCCTACCTTTAATTAATATAATAAATGATTCGAAAAATAAATGGGACTATTTGCATGGACTTTCACATAGTACATAAGGATAGTTCCATCACATGCAGATGCGCTCTGAGCTTTAATAATTGCTGTAACACGCGCGGCATACTAAATTGGGACTCCTCCTTGAATGTGCGCATCCTTTAAAGAACCGAATTCTTTTCCAATGCCAAC